AGCCGTATTAGTCTGTTTCAGCAAAAACAACAAGGAGTCTTGTGGCACATTAAAGACTAACAAATTTATTAGAGCTTAGCTTTCATGGGCTATGACCTACTTATTCAGATGTATGGAGAGAAAATTACAGTAGGCAGGCATAAATATATAGCACAAGAAAAGTTGCCTTACCATCTTTAAGGTGCCACAAGACTCCTCATTATTAACCATCAACAATCAGTTAATAATATTTGACTGGTTTCCTCATAGCCAACTACATTCCACAGTGTTCAGTGGATGATCTCTTTGAGGGAACGTGGTACCTAGTGCGAGTGGATGAAAAACACAGAAGAACTTATGCTCGACGTCCAGTGCTGGGTGATGGGCTTTTGGAAGCAGGAGCTGAGGTTGTCCATCCAAGCATAGTTCATGAGGTGAAAATTCTGTATTTTTGTTAATAATTGATGTAAATAGTTTTGCTATTTCTATATAGTGGTGCTATGCAAATCCCCTGTAAAAGGAGGGCAAGGGGCTGATAATTTATTTCCATCTAATTTGTTAAAATAGGTAAAATAGGAGCCAAAAAATCAAAGATAGACAATTAAAAAAAAATCCCACCTGCAGAATGTAAGTTTTGGTGCAAGAGAGACTGAGTCAGTTTGTATATAAACCAAGACTGCAGAAACATCCAATCAAACGTGAATACCTAAAACCAAACTTTCTAACTAGTGTAGCGTGAATTTTGTCTGGGAGATAATGCTGGGAGTCTAGGAAGAAGCAATGAAATCTAAGAGCAGGATCTGGAAACTTCTGTTTTTTAAAACTTTTTTTTTTCCTCTTCAGCTTATCCCGAGCCCTGCTAAGAAAGTGCCAAGAATCCCTGCAACCACAGAATCTGAAGCTGTTGCTGTCTCTGTTTCCAATGGAGAGCATTAATACACCTCTGTGAGGTGTGAAATTAATCAAAATGGGCGTGTGGTGGGAAAGGAAAAGGGATTAAATATTATCTAAATTTCACTGTACAGAAATATTCTAATTGGAGCATGGAAAACTGTTTAAACTCCTTGAGAGGCTTTGTTTAATGTGGTTTCATAACACTAAAGCATGAATGTATTGGAAAAGAAAAAGGCAAAGGTTCGGAGGGCTTTCATAACTCTGGATGTTGGTGTGGTTTTAAAAAAAGGTTCAGGAATGGGTGTACCAATTACAAGATCTTGGTAACTGGACACAGAAAAACAGGAATTTTGCTTGACTTCCCAATTTTTTTTAGTGAAACCTAAAATAGGTTTAAATGTGCATGCACAAACTCCCATCCTGGGAGTAAAATTTTCTAAATGGAGGAGGGAGGAACGAACGGGTTCCCTCCTCTCCCCAAAAACTGACCAAAAGCCATTGTCTCGCTCTTTTTCAGAAGTCACTTTGGTTTTTAATGTTGGGGTCCTCAGTGCCTTGACAATAAGCAGTCAGTTTTCTAAATACAATATACCCATTACTTCCCCTGCTAAAAAAATTAAGATAGGAATAGGTATTAAGTGATCAAAAATCTGTGACCACCTTATAGATTTGGTCTCCATCTAACTCCCAGTGTCCATATCACATCACTTTTATCCACATCCTTAAAGCCCACCACTATACTGTTTTGGCAACATTAGCAGAGGCGAAGGACTGAATGAAGTTGGAGTCTTTTGTTGTCCTTCCACTGAGCAGTTCTTGGCAAGGCAGTGGGAAGAAAGTGATATTTGTCAAATAAAGGGTTTAATTCCCTAATTCTTTCAATCTGGCACCTTTTAAAAAGCAGTTAGGTTTAATACTTTTTTTTTTTTTTTTTTGGTCAGAATGATCACAGAGCAGACCTCTAGTCCTCAATTTCCAAATACTATGGGGAGTTTATTCAAACTGACAAACCGCAAAGGGAAAAGATGTGACAGTTCGTTCTTGACTCCTAGCTCTTGCTTCTACTATATTTTTCTTAATGACAATTTTTAACTCTGAACTCATGATTGGCTTCATATTTCACACTCCCTTGTACTTCTATAACAAGACTGTTGCAGGAAAACACAAAAACCTTTTTCCATCCTTCCAGTCTGAAAGCTGTTCATCATGCAAGGAGTAAATGTCCGAAACTAGTGGGGAGACCATTCTGAGCTATGAAGAGCCTTGCTAGCTTGTAACATATATTTAAATTGTTCTAATGTACAGGAATGAGTCTCTTGTTTAATTCTTGTTTTATTTCACTGTCCACTTCAAAACTTCATTGTCTAATATAAACTTGCAGAAATGACATGTTGCGAAATGCAGGTTTTTGTGTAATGTAGTGTTTGTATAATACACCGTATGTCACTCACTAGGATTTGATAACTTTTTTGTTGGACTTGTACAGTCAACTTTCTAAAATTTCATTTAATATGAACTGATGTGGACTAACGGTCTAAGTGCTTTTATGGAAAGTGATGGAGAAATGATGCATGAAGATACTTTTGCAAGTGTTTGGGTTTTTAGTTTCATAAGAGCAACTCTATTTGCTGCCAGAAGACAAATTTATCACAGAATAAAGTCCATTGCTGGCAATGGACAGGACAAGAACTACTGGCACCAAGAAATTTACTTGCCATCCTCACTAACACTGAAGCAGCTGCTTTTGTAAATAAAGTTTTAGAGACATTTGAAACTGGTGTTGGTGTAGTGCTGAACTGCTGTGGAATACATCTCTTAAATGGATTAGGAAGAATCTAATGACCCAGCAAATACTGGAGAGTTTACAGGTTACTGATCAGGGAACCCAACCTATGCAGGTGTTCTAGTATAAATGCTTCCTTTTTCTGTTCTATAGTGGAATATTAAGAGGAAAATTAATCAGACTGTCTAGTTGGCACTCTAACCCAAAAATATTTAGAATCATGTTTTAGGACTGTATCTTTCAATATTATGTACTGCTTGTTCTTTAAACCCAATCCATTTCTAACGCATCTGTAGTCTGCAACGGTTCTATTCCCATCCCCTTTCCTTCAATATTTTGAAAAAGACTTGATAGCTTAATTTTCTTGACTGCCCTCTTGCTCTGCACTCATCTAGGACTACGATGCAGTCAGTTTCCTGTTACTTTTAAAAAAATCCAAGCTCCTCTTTACTACATAAAAGCAAATGAAGGAATATTGAACCACCCCTCTTCATTTTTAATGTATAAAAAGAGCTATTTAAAAACCTACCAGGCCAGTGTAAACATGGAAAAGCTGCATCTGAACTTAAGTTCTGGTTGTCGGTTAGTAATACAAACTGAAGCTGTGCAACTTCAGTTTTTACGTAGCCTAACGGACTTACCTCTAGCTGTCAAAGTAGCTATTTTAACTGTGCCAGCTCATAGTGGTATAAGTATTAGGAAAACTTTCTTACAGTTTGTATTTAAGTTGATGTAGGGGGAGCAGAGCCCAAAACTTCTGATGTAAGCAGAAGTAGGGGTAACTTTGTCTCCTATCTTACACACAAGGATTGCATAGGGCATCTGTCTCTTAAAAGGGTACATAGCAATGTGAATAAAGCAAGGAGACCACTACTACAAAAGACTAGGCTATCAGAAAAACCCCAAAACAAACAAACAAACAACCCTATCCCACTCTTGTGTATGGGTTGTGGTATTTGGTGATTGATTTTGATACTAGTGACCATTAGAACAAACTGTTTTGGCTTTTGGTGCTAATCTTTACTGCTCAACTAACATGAGCCAGAAGCACTGCATTGTGGTATGTTTCCTTAATGCCCTATGCAAGGACATTAGTGTTGAATCTATAAGTGAAGCTAAAGCCAGATAAACTTGGAGTCTGGTCCTGTTAGCAATAGCCCGTGGCCTTCATTTGGAGCAGGACTGGGTACACCGTAGTTCTGCATTCTTGATGCCTCATCTCCTTACTTGTAGCCTTATAAGTATGTCATGGAGTAGCAGAAATCACGGATTCCGTGACTTTCTCCAACCTTCATGACATTGGGGCCCTGTAGCAGCCCAGCTACTGCTGCCAGCAGTGGGACTCTCTCCCTCAGCAGTCCAGCAGAAGGAGAGAACCCCCCTCAGTTCCCAGCCACCCGCCCAAGCTCCAAGCCACTGGACAGGGGTGAGGGGCCGCAGCTCCCTGCCACTGCATGCAGCGGGGCAGGGTGGTGGACCCTCCTGCCTCCCCATTTTGTCAGGGATGTTTTTAGTAAGTCAAGGACAAGTCATGGCTTCCGTGAATTTTTGTTCATTGCCCGTGACCTGCCCATGACTTTTACTAAAAATATCCATGACAAAATCGTAGCCTTACTTATTAATTCACTCAAGGATCAAACCATACTAGGTCCAGTAGATGGCAGCATATCTGCCTGTACCCAGGAGTAGCAGCATTTCTCACAGTGGTACTAAAACAAAGGTGAAAATTTGTTTGATTTGAGTTAGTGGAGCATCATGTTAGGGTTTGACTTTAAATATAGGATAACTTGTGATACATTACAGCAATTTTCAGGATTTTTCAAAAGCTGATCCTGGACTAATGATGAGAAAGGGAAAAAAAGGTTAGAGCCTCTTTATCTGTCAAGGTGTAATAGCTAAAAATGAAGTGCTAACATTTAATACCTAATAGTCTTGTCTTAAGTAATAGTTTATAGATTCCTTGTAAATAAATATTCACAGCTGTTCAGGAATCAGTCTCTTTAAATAACCAGATTTTGTCCATTGCAAATTGGCAGTCATTTAGATTCCTGTACTGTTGTGACTTAACATCAGGCTAATAATGTAATATTTCTGCAAGTGGCCACATATTATAAATAGCTGTCCTAAAAGATCAGCCCAAGTATATTGAGTAATTCTACTCAATTATTAAAAGACAACATCCATTAAACAACTTGTATTTGTTAATCAATTAGTATATCTTCCATTTTACATGTGAGGTCTGTGGGCCAAAGTGCAAACACAAACAAGTCTGTTTGAGCACATCAGTCCTCTGGATGAACTAATACATTTTGAGATTTAAGGCAGTTTTGGTTTATTTAAAAATTACTGTGAAATGAATAAAACCCCTTGTTAAAGTTACTGAATGTAAAGTCTGCTATATGCAATTCATAAAATTGAACACAACTTGGATGTATGTCTGATACCACGGTATGAACTGTGACCTTTCTTTAAATCTTGCTCTTTGGGTTCTGGTTGCGTGACTATAGGAACAGTCTCCAGGACTCTTTTCTTTTGCACTCTGTGCAAAACAATTCGGTAGATACCAGTTATTGAGCTTCGAGAATCTCTTCCACGGTTATTTTGAATGTGTTCTTCTGTGATTCCCAAATCTTCCAAGGTATTTTTCACTTCAATTTCCTCCTCTTTGAGGGTACTAGTCTCTGCTAAATACTTTGGATCCAGTTTAAATGGATCCAAGGCTTTTGGATACTGTATCCCTTGCATCCATTCGTTCTTCATAATACATTCAATAGAGTATCGTGCAGTTGGGACTGGCTGAAGAACTCCTCTGATCAGTTTCTGGCAAGTGTCTGAAAGGTATGGAGGCAGGCTATATGTCCCATCAAGAATGCACTTCTTCAGTTTGGCCACTGTGTCTGCACGAAATGGCATTGTACCAGTTGTCATAAAATATAAAAGGATGCCTAGTGCCCATATGTCCACATAAACACCAACATAGTTTTCATCTTGGAAGAGCTCAGGGGCAGCATAAGGAGGAGACCCACAGAAAGTGTTTAAAGTTTCCTCTTTTTTACTTATTGTGCTGAATCCAAAGTCTCCCACCTTCACACAGGTGTTACTGGTATAGAATACATTTTCTGCTTTCAGGTCCCGGTGAATGATATTGTTATCATGCTATAGAGCAAAAGGAAAGCAAACTAAGTATTAGTATATATACTAAGGCTTTTCCAGCTCATTTTTTTTTCTGTCTTTGCTATACAGAAGTTGCCATTTAAAAAGTCAACATTTGCCAAGTTACCACACAGTGGGTCTGAGGTCCCCCACTGTTTCCCTATAGTTGGAATAGGAAAGTCTAGATGTAAAGTATGGAAATGCACAGTTAAGATGCCCAAACAAACTTAGTTTTGCCCTGTGCTAACACCAAAGGGGTGGGGGGAAAAAAGATGTAAGGTGTCTTTAGTGTAATCTGATACCATAACAACACATGCATTAATCATAGTTGTATGGTTAAAGGCACCTGAACAACCTACCTGCATTTCCTAACCCTAATATTTAGATTTCTTTTAAGGAGTTTATAACACTGTTTTTGCAATAATTACAACATCTTTCATGTTTTTTTACCTTATGTTACTGATAAGTACTTTTAACCATACCTCCATCTTACTACTGTGTTTGTGTGGGGCTAGAATTTAATGCCAAAAGGCATGCGATAGTGCATAAAGGCCTATCCTGTATCCAAACAGAACCTCCTTTGATCTCTTTTTGAATGTTTCTGTGGATAATACCGCAGCAGTCTTTAGTCTTTATAAAAAGCAGACCAAACTCCCATTGACTTCTACTGAAGTTTAGGCCAGGGTTGAATTCGATCCATAAAGATCTTCTAAGTGGAACTATGATCACTTTTTAGATCTTGACTTACTCTAAAACTACAGCAATGCTAACAGGTGCCATTATGCTATTCCCTCTCATCTGCTGTGTTCTCTCTCCCCATTATTAGCACTTCCATTACCTACAAAAACAGAAACCTGCTCTAACATGCTGATTCTTGGTTCCAATAGTTGGCATGATATAGACTCTCTCTTTCAGTGTGCTTACAGATGTAACACCCGGGTCATGACTACATGTGGATGAGAGCGCTGCACAAGAGCAAGGAAAGTTGTCATACTGGTGTGTTGCTGTATGTGAAATGAGTTTTGTGCTCCCAGTCCACTACCCAAAGAAGCGGTGACAATATCAGAAAAAAAACCACCACAAAGGCAGCATAGTTAGGCATTAAACAGAGAGGCCAAGAGTTGAATGGGCATGGAGACAGCAGTAGTGTCTCTCCCTAAAAGTGGTATCCCTAGACAAAGGCTGAAGAACAGTGATGTGGGGAAGTCTACGGGGTATCTGTTCTATGGGGACTTTAGTGTCCAGAGCTGCCTTTCAGAAACCTTTCATTAGCACTACTCCTACTTGGTGCAAAACAAAACAAAAATACCTACATGAAGTCTGCTAAAGTAACGAAGGGTAACTTAGGCCTACAGAAAAACAACTTACCATGTGTTTCACAGCAGATGCAATCTGGGAGAAAATTAATTTACTTTCCATTTCTGCTAACTTTCCCTCTGTGCTGATTTTAACAAAGAGTTCCCCACCTCCTGCATACTCCATCACGAGGTGCAGTTTCGACAGTGTTTCCACCACTTCGTAAAGTCTGATAATGTTTGGGTGGTGCAGTTTTTCCATGCTGGAAATTTCACGGGATAGTAAACGTTGAGTCTTCTGGTCTAACTTGGTCTTGTCCAAAATCTTAATTGCTACTTTTTCTGGAGAGAAAAATTTATTTGAATGTATTAGGCAAACAAATATTTATAGCAACACTCTTACGTTAAAACAATCCTCATTTAACTGAAAACTTTTAAAAATCTCACTTCTTCTTCGAGTGATTGCTCATATCGGGTCCAATTAGGTGTGTGCACACTGCGTGCACAGTCGTCGGAAAGTTTTCCCTTGGCAGCTCCCCTCAGGTAGGCTGTGGAGCCCCCTGGAGTGGCGCCTTCATGGTGCTGAATATGTACCCCTGCCAACTCGGTCCCTCCGCAGTCCTTCTTACCGCCGGTGACGGTCATTGGAACTACGGTTGCTTGCCTAGCAAGTGCTTCCCTTAGCATACTTTCTGATAGTTGTAGTTTAGTTCTTAGTTAGTAGTAATAGTGTATATAGTGATAGATAAGGTTGGGGAGTGGGTTTTTTCCCCCAATCCCTAACCCTTCCCTCCTTGGGCTCCGGGGCATGCCACGAGCTCAAGGGTTCAAACCCTGCGGAGCCTGCAGCAAACCAATACCAATGAGCGACCCCCACGACTCGTGTCTGGAGGTCGCAGGACGAGCTCTCTCTCCATAACAATATCAAGGAGTTAAGGGCCATACAACTAGCACGCAAAATCTTTCAGGCCCGGCTACAAGGCCAGTGTGTGGCAGTTATGATGGGGGAACATCAACTAGCAGGGTGAAGCCCGTTCCTCTCCCCTAGGCCGGGAACCCCTCTGGCTTTGGGAGTTCTGCATAGCCCACTCCATTCACCTGGAAGCATCCTATCTACCAGGAGTTCAGAACACACTGGCGGACCACCTCAGCAGATCTTTCTGCAATCATGAGTGGTCCATCCAGCCGCATGTCATACACTCCATCTTCCAAAGGTGGGGTTTTCCCCAGGTTGATCTGTTCGCCACCCAGAGCAACAGAAAGTGCCCAATGTTCTGCTCCTTACAGAAACACAGCCCTGGCTCAATCACGGATGCATTCCTGCTACCCTGGGGGGGACGACCGTCTATTGTACACCTTTTCCCCGATCCCTCTCGTGCACAAGGTCCTACTCAAGGGCCCCGGGATGGGGCAGAGATAATTCTGCTGGCACCAGCATGGCCTCGCCAATGTTGGTACACCACACTCCTGGAGCTGTCAGTAGATGCCCTGATCACGTTGCCACTCCTCCCCAACCTGATCACTCAGGACCATGGTCGTCTTCATCACCCCAACCTCCAGTCCCTCCAACTCACCGCCTGGAAGCTTCCTGGCTGAACCCCATAGAGATTCTGTGCTTGGAACAGGTAAGGGAGGTCTTACTCGGCAGCAGGAAACGCTCCACTAGGGTCACAAAGTGGAAAAGGTTTACTTGCTGGTGTGACAAGCATTGTACATCCCCACGTCAGGCACCTATATCTCTCATCTTAGAGCAGGGGTTCTCGCAACAAGTGTTTTGGTGGCCACAGAGTGTGGCCACCAACTCTTGCTGGTGGCCGCCCTGACACCTTTTCCTAAAATACTTGATTAACTTTAGGAAAAACAAATAAATAGCACATATACACATCCACATAATTGTAATTTATTCATGTAGGGTTTTTTTGGCAGACTCAATAATAAAAATATTACTGTGAAAAGTGATATTTGTGTTCGTTACTATCAATCACTTTTCACAGGACACTTAGTAGCTATTTGGAAGGCTGTGAAGGGTGATACTTGCATGTTTGTTAAGATCACTTTTCTCAGCAAGGCCCAGGACAATTTAAGCCCTGGGTTGGGGGGGGCGGGGAATAGAGAGAGAGAGAGTGTGTGTCAGATGTAGACGCGGTGGGATGGATGGGTGATGGGTAGGGGGATATGGATATGCGGGGCCAAGAGAGAGGAGGGTGGGTGGTAAGGCCCGCAGCTGGAGCCAGGGGTTGGCACCTGGTGCTGGGTAGCCAGGGGTCAGTACCCGCGGCCAACACCCGGAGCTGGGGGCAGGAGCTGCACCTCCAGGACAGAGAGTTGGAGCCCAGGGCCAGTGCCCACTGCCACGCAGCCAGACCCTGGAGCTGGGTGCTGGAGCCTGGGGCTGCGTGGCCGGATCTGGGGGTCAGTGCCCACCCCCCATGAGGCTGAAACCAGCACCCACTGCCGCGTGCTCGGGATCAGGGATCAGTGCACACCTGGGGCCAGGGATCAGTGCCTGCTGCCGCACGCCTGGGGCCAGCGATTGGCGCCGGGGGACAGCCCTGCCTGCCGCTGTGCACCCGGGGCTGGGGATTGGCACCCGGAGCAGGCGCCTGTTGCCGCATGGCTGGGACTACAAGTCGGTGCCCGGGGTCAGCGGCTAGGACTGGGGGTCGGAGCACGCAACTGGGGTTTGGTGCCCGGGGCCAGCGGCTGCTACTGGGGTCAGGGGTTGGTGCCCAGGGCCAGCAGCTGATGGGATCGGGGGGTGGGGTCCTGGGGCCATCACCGCATGGCCAGAGATGGAGAATGGAGCCTGCTGCCACATGGCCAGGGGTTGGAGCCTGAATTGAAGCCCCGTGGCCAGAGCTAGGGGTCAGCACCTGAAATCCTGCCGCCGGAGCTGGGTGTTGGCACTTGAAGCCTCATGGCTGGAACCCTGGTCCGCACAGCCAGGCTCCCTAAGTCCCGCCGCTGGAGCCCGCCTCCCAATCGCCCCAGGGCTGCCTCCATGCCCCGCCCCAGGTAGAGAACTCACTGTGCTCCTGCAGTGTTTTGCCCCACCTGTCTCCAGGGGCCATGCAGGGCTGTGCATCCAGGAGGAACAGGGAGGAAGCGGGGCGGGGCAGATGCTTTGCTTCTCCCCCCCGCCCCCATCACCACTCAGGAAGCTGTCGTGATCACAGGGAACCCCCCTGGTGGCCGCATTCGGCCACGGTGGCCTCATTTGAGAAACGCTGTCCTAGAGTACCTTCTGCACCTGAAACAGCAAGGCCTGGCAACAGCATCCATAAAGGTACACCTCGCTGCTATCTCGGCCTTCCACCTGGGAGCATCTGGATGCTCCGTCTTCGCCAACCCCATGGTTGGCCGATTCCTCAAGGGTCTGGAACGGCTACATCCGCACGTTAGACAGCCTGTTCCTGCGCTGGACCTTAACTTGATCCTCTCCAAACTAATGGGGCCTCCGTTTGAACCACTGGCAACTTGCTCCCTTCTCTACCTGTCGTGGGAGGTAGACTTCCTGGTCGCCATTACATCAGCAAGGAGGGTGTCTGAGTTGAAAGCCCTCACTTCTGACCCACCTTATACGGTTTTCCACAAGGATAAGGTGTAACTCAGGCCTCACCCAGCCTTTCTTCCTAAGGTTGTGTCACATATTCCTGCCTGTTTTTTATCCTAAGCCTCATGCCAGTAGTCAAGAGCAGAGGCTGCACTTTCTGGATGTTCAGCAGGCGCTAGCCTGCTACATCGAATGCACTAAGCCGTTCAGGAAATCGAACCAGTTGTTTGTAGCGGTGGCAGACCAGATGAAAGGTCTCCTGGTCTCTTCTCAAAGAATATCTTCCTGGATCACGTCCTGCATCCGCACGTGCTAAGAGCTGGCCAAGATACCGGCCTCGGCACTTACGGCACACTCCACAAGGGCACAGGCCTTGTCGTCGGCATTCCTGGCCCAGGTCCTAATACAAGAAATCTGCAGGGCAGCAACTTGGTCCTTGGTGCATACGTTCACCTCTCATTATGCCATGATCCAGCACACCAGAGATGATGCAGCTTTCGGCAGAGCAGTGCTCCAGTCAGCAACTCCATAACTCCGACCCCACCGCTTAGGTAAGGCTTGGGAGTCACCTAATTGGAATCGACATGAGCACTCACTCGAAGAAGAAAAAACAGTTAATCACCTTCTCGTAACTGTTCTTCGAGATGTGTTGCTCATATCCATTCCAATACCTACCCACCTACCCCTCTGTCGGAGTAGCCGGCAAGAAGGAAGTGAGGAGGGCCCAGGTCGGCAGGGGCATATATTCAGTGCCAGGAAGGCGCCACTCCACGGGGCTCCACAGCTGATCTGACGTGAGCTGCTAAGGGAAAACTTTCAGATGACTGTGCACGTGGCGCGCACACACCTAAGCCACTGAGGACAGGACACAAAGCAATGGGCTTAAATTGCAACAAGGGCGATTTTAGGTTAGACATTAGGAAAAACTTCCTAACTGTCAGGGTAGTTAAGCTGTGGAAGCTCCATCAAAGGAGGTTAGGGTGACCAGACAGCAAGTGTGAAAAATCAGGATGGGGGTAGGGGGTAATAGGAGCCTATATAAGAAAAAGACCCCAAAATTGGGACTGTCCCTATAAAATCGGGACATCTGGTCACCCTAAAGGAGGTTTTAAAGAACAGGTTGAACAAACTTGTCAGGGATGATCTAGCTAATACTTGGTCCTATCTCAGTGCGGGAGACTGGACTAGATGACCTGTCGAGGTCCCTTCCAGTCCTACCTTTCTATGACTGTGCTTGCTACAATGCTGAACATAGAGGAAGGTCTGGTCTCTGTCCTAAAGAGCCTGTACGTTGAGACACAGGCAACGGATTCCTCTGGGCCCCAGGAGTGTTCAACCCCCCAGCTCCGCTCTGCCCCAGGCCCCGCTGACCCCTTCCCCCCAGTCCCCACCCCCGCCCCACCTCTTCCCCCCCAGTTCCACCCCCTCACCTGAGTGTGCCCCGTCCCCGCTCCTCCCTCCCTCCCCAGCGCCTCCTGCACACCACAGAACAGCTGATCGCAGGCAGGCGGGAGGCACTGGGAGGGAGGGGGAGAAGTTGATCAGCAGAGGCCCTGGGGGGGGGGAGGGGAGCGTGGCTGCCCGTGAGTGCTCAGCACCCACTAATTTTTTTCCATGGGTGCTCCAGCCCTGGAGCACCCACGGAGTCAGCGCCTATGCGTTGAGAATAAAATGTCTTCATTGTGGTTCATCAAAGAGCACATAACCCACTGCTTAATGTAGATCTAAAACAGTCACTCAGAATGAGATTCATCTGTAAACAAATCCTGCTTTTTTTATGCTATTCCAG